GCGGCTCACCAGTTTTCAAATTGTGTCAAAGCTCTTGGGGGGCCCCCACCACAAAAACATTTTTTATAAATAAAATAAAACTTTATACAAATACGTACGATGCAATTTTTTAATTTATTTTGTATTTTTTGTCTTGTCCTTGAGAAAACCGAGAAAACCTAATTCTAAGATAAAAGATTATTTTACGATGATCAGTGAATTAGGTTTACCCTAAGCAAAGTTAAATATCTAGCCTAGGGGTGTGCGATGTTAACAAAAAATGATATCTCTATATTATATATATGATATCTCTAGTGTGTTGCGCTGCAGGACTGCGTGGACAGCTGACTCTGTGTGGTGGTCAGTTCACAGCAGTGACAGAAATGTATCTTTTCCAGCAAGTTTAAAATTATTTTACCCTTTACCCTTTATGGGCATTTTTACCTTTGTAAAGCCATTTTTTTTCTAGAAGTGTGCCAAAATTTAACCAAATAAAGCCAATTATAATAATAAGACATTTGGGGCAGTTACCAAACAAATAAAATCATTATCAACAAAATTCATGCAATGCAGAGGAAACACAGAAGCTGCATCTGAAGAGGCATTTAGATGCATATACACACTGCTTGATGCAAGGCATGAATGCTTTAACCTGTAGTTATAAATGCAGAAATAATGTTTTGATATTTTAATCTTAAAACGTTGAAAACTGATATTTAAAATGACTTAAATATATATATATAAAAAGGTACTTTAAAATGTGAAATTAAAACTGCCAGTAGGTGGCAGCAAGTCACTGTTAATAAGTGAGTCATTGTGATTGAACGGTTGATCCATTCAGGACCGAAATACTGACATGTTTTTCAGAGAGAAAAACAAACAAAAAAAAAAAATAGGCAATATGGTGTCTAAAACATAAGTCTCTTAATATTAACTTCTTGTTTATTGAACTGTTGTATAAAATCAATATCACATTTGTGATTTTTTGCGAAAAATGGCACTCTTCGTGTGATATTGATCAACTATATGAAATTATATAAATATATACATTTTCTGCCCCCATATCTTGGATTTTGGGAGCATTAAATGCATTTTATTAGACTTAATCATGCAGTGAAAGAACACACTCTAAATGAGCATTCAGTCTAGCTAGTGTTTAATCACTCATAACTCCTCTTATAATCAATGAAGCTGTCCATATACTGTAAGATAAATGAATCTCTAACTTACATCGTACGTACATCTGCACTTTGTTGCTTATTATCGATGAGGGAATTCACGAGTTTCAGTCTGAAAAAAACTCTGGGGTTACAGCGATGACTAATCGGAATGCCTCTGATTGCCTACTGCATTCCTAAGGTCAACAGAATCATGTGATTGGTTATAATGAGCAACGCTGTAAAAATGCGTAAAAATAAAATATGATGTAACATAAGCAGGTCTAAATGTAATACAGCAATCGAAACTTCATTTTAAGTATTAAAGTTTTATTGAAAAAACAGGGGACCCCCCAAGTATATTTTTTGGGTGTTATGGGGTGTCCCTTAATGCTTATGGGAGGTCGGGGATAGAGACCTGCGCTGCTCTATTTTTCAGTCCTGCTCCCACCCGCTCCCGCAAGATTCTGTCCCGCGCCCGCCCGCTCCCGCAGAAAAATATCTTATCTGGTCCCGCTCCCGCCCGCGACATTCATGTTTTGTCCCGCTCCCGCCCGCAAAAGCCTGCATAAAAGTAATCTATATAGACTTTTTCAGTACATCGAAGAAATTTACATGAAATGGTTCTGTAACATCTCCTAAGCTCCACAACATCCCAGCATAAACACTATAACCGATACAATATTTTTTTTTTGGGTGTTATGGGGGGTCCCTTAATGCTTATGGGAGGTCTGGGACCCCCCCGGCTCGAACACTGCTTCCACTCCCGGGTTCAATTGCCAGGGCAAAACCCGTGGCGCTGCCATGCTGGTTCCGTATGGAGTCAAATCAATGCCATACTTATAGTTCCATATGACATACAAACATTCAGCAGTCATATTTCTCTAGAGCTGCGTTCTCTGTGCTGGTATAGGGGTACTCTGGTCCAGTAAAGCTTATCCTTTTCTGTAAAAGGCAATTTCCTCCATAATCACTCTCTGATGCCCCTGGAGGACAGTAAAAATGATCAATGAGTGTCGTTCATCAGAAAGGCTAGTAAGGAAAGCTTGTTTTCCAGTTCAGCTTTCATGTGATGAAATGCCCATGGGACAGCTATATGTAATGAAAATGCTAAGGGAATGCATGTTTTTTCTATTAAAAAAAAAGAAGAAAGAAACAGATAATTAACAATCCTATCTCACTGATGATCCAACGGTAGCTGCACGGATCTCAGGCTGCCTGGCGGACATCTCGGCATGGATGAAAGAACTTTATTTATTCCTTCCCTTTTCTAGCTTGTACTTATTTGAACAATGCCTAAAACTTGGTATTTCAAGCACTTCCTGTGTCTGTTTGCCTCTTTAAGAAGAATCGCTTTATGTATTCCCCAATTGTAAGTCGCGTTGGATAAAAGCGTCTGCAAAATGACTAAATGTAAATGTAAACAGTTCTCTGTGAACTTAAACCTGATAATGACTCCTGAAGGGGGCTAAATAAATAGAAGCCAGTGCCCATAGCAGCTCTCTTTGTACTTACTGTGACGGTATCATATTTTGTCATGTAAGTTAGACATATAATTTGGGCCATATGAATTCATTTACAAAACAAACATTTCAATAAAAATTACAAATATATGCTCTCAGTAGATATGGTTTGAAACCGAATAAATCTAACTTTGACTTTTCTCAGTGGTTTTCTTCTTTATAGTAGCACAGCAGTAATGGTCTGTTTAGTTAAGAGGGTGTGGCCATTTATGCTTTTATTCTGGACTTACTGACATTTCAAGGCATTAATCAGTCAGCCATGATTATTTTTTCATGATCCTATGCCTATGAAATATAGCTCGTTAAATAACGGAATAAAAAAATATATAATTATATTTTGAAAATGTAATAGACAAAATCAAAATGGATGGTACAAGCTATATTTATTGCTTTACATTTTATATATATATATATATATATATACACAGTAAGCTCAAACACCTAGAACATTCATGACAAATGTTTAAATAGGAACAACATTTAAATGATAAAGTCATGACAAATCATTACTCACAATCATACCAAAACAAGGCAGGACATTTCAACAATCATAAATCAACAAATGAATTAATCATTAAAAAAAAAAAAAAAAAGTGTAAATCACAGACACAAAGGGGGTGCCACAAACATCAAGCATATGTAGTCACATCTCATTTCAACAGGACAATAAACAAGTACAGTAACTCTCTGGTGACCTGAAGCTAAGTGAATATATATAGAAAATATATAGAAAAAGAAAATGTCCCACCCCCCCCACACTACAGCATATCACACACCTGTTTGAACAAGTGCAATCCAACTACAAAAAGTTATTGGCTGAGGCAAAAAATGGGGCAAATTCACATCTTTATTACATTTCATGACTTGTTATATATAGACAACAAACCAAAATTAACCAATCAATTTCATACTCAATATTACTGAATAAACAGCCCCATCTAAATTATGACACGTGAAAGATTTGAATTATGAATTTGTTGTTTGGGTGGTTGTTTTCTGTTACAAAACAGATATAGTAACTTATATCCAACAAAATGTCACAAATGTCATTTTTTTGCATTTAAATTTGAACCATCTAACCATTTAGAGCCATTTCGATAACAATGATACTCTTGAAACCTTTAAAAATGTCTGGATCATACTTCACCACAATTTTTTGTTTTTGTTTTTATCTATTTATTTATTTTTAGAAAATTAAGCCTATTGTTGACCATTAAGGTTTTACTGTACTAAAACCAGAAAAAAACAAACCCACAATATAGTATTTAAACAGTAATTTAAGCTTTTTTTTGTACTACAAAAAAATAAAACTTTTGAGAATAATTACACTGTCAATTATATCTTTACTGTAAACTATTCAATGTAAAACTGTATCTTTAAAGGTACAACAGATTAAGTAAGCTTTAAGTACCCTTAAAATGACAACTTTATATGTTATCTACCCCTAAAAAGTGCATATTAGTAAGAGTGGTAATATTTGTCCTTAAGTTACTACTATTAACCTTTTAGGGGTAAATAAGGTATAAAGATGTCCCTTTGAGGGTACTGCTCCAGTGATAAGGTGTTGTACCTAAAGGTTTTTTTTTTTTTCCCTGAGACAGTACAAATCAATAACCCTCTAAAATTTTTATTTCTATAATCATATTTTCACAATACTGTCAATAATTTAATATAACAGTATTTTTTCTTTTTTAGATTTTGGTGTGAAACTGGACATGTTTCATGAGATTCATCCTTTAACACATCATCCATTTATTTTCTATATTTTTATCTTGAAATGATATCTTTAAATTATTCCCTAATCTGAAATTTTAAGCATATTTCATGTCAAACACGTATAAACTAATTTTACAGATTTTCAAAATGTATTTTTGTTAATTATCATTATTATTTTAGATTGTTTTAATTCACTATGACAATGTTTAGTTGATAAAGTAAGTGCAAAAACAGGTTTGGAATACATTACAGCAGGATAACAGGTGCTAAGGGAATGTTTTGGGGTACAACACATCTCACAACCAGCAGAGAATTTTAAAAGATAACCAAGAATCCAGACAAATAATCTGAATGAAAAGATGTTTGTGTTTCTCAACTACCTGCATGCTATAAGCTTATGGGAGCGAGTTTTGAAGATATCATGCATCTTCTTTATTTAAGTTTTCTTTACACATTCTCTCCTTTCCCCCATGGTGTACTTGGGGCAAGTCATTCTATATTCCCTAGAGAGTTATCCACTTCCTCCTCACTAGGGCTGGACTCTAGCCCCATACCCTCTATTTGGGACAGCTCATCCAGCAGCTCCTTTCCCGCCTCTCCAGCTCGAGACGCCCATAGCACAGCACCCTGTTTCAGCCCGATGGAGCGAAGCATCTTAGCGTAGTCCACAAAGGCCGCACCTATAAACTTATGTGGAGATGCTGTGGTTAAGGAAGACTGGGAATAGAGAAGTAATATAAGTAAAAAGAAAAAAAAGTGTAAAGACCAAGTTACTACTTACTACATACAACCTACTGTCACCCCTAAAATTATTTGGAAACTTAAGTGGACACCAGTACACATAAGCAAATGGTGTCTTGTAAGCCAGGTTTTTGCATTGCAAAGAACCATTTTAAATGTAGAAGTGTCCACATATTGTGTGCTGTATCGCGTACCTTGCCAGTTTCGTGCGCTTACTTGGCCCTTTGTTGTGATAAACAGTAAAGTGTGTTCAAGCGCCAGCAAAAGACTTGAATAGTGTAAAGAAATACTCTTTAAGAGAAGCAGTCAATCAGTGGAAGTTAAAAGCAGTGTGTAAGTATATTTATTTCTTGTCTCATTAGTTTTTGCAGTTGTCGTTGGTAGGAAACACTTGTTTTGTTTACTGTGTTGAGACGTGCTGAAGTTGCGTTTGGTCTCGTGCTGTATCGCATACCTTGTCAGTTTCGTGCACTTGTTATGCTTGGAGACTTAAATGTCCACCTAGATAGGGTGCAGGCTGCAGACCAACTACCTGCATGCTATAAGCTTATGGGAGCGAGTTTTGAAGATATCATGCATCTTCTTTATTTAAGTTTTCTTTACACATTCTCTCCTTTCCCCCATGGTGTACTTGGGGCAAGTCATTCTATATTCCCTAGAGAGTTATCCACTTCCTCCTCACTAGGGCTGGACTCTAGCCCCATACCCTCTATTTGGGACAGCTCATCCAGCAGCTCCTTTCCCGCCTCTCCAGCTCGAGACGCCCATAGCACAGCACCCTGTTTCAGCCCGATGGAGCGAAGCATCTTAGCGTAGTCCACAAAGGCCGCACCTATAAACTTATGTGGAGATGCTGTGGTTAAGGAAGACTGGGAATAGAGAAGTAATATAAGTAAAAAGAAAAAAAAGTGTAAAGACCAAGTTACTACTTACTACATACAACCTACTGTCACCCCTAAAATTATTTGGAAACTTAAGTGGACACCAGTACACATAAGCAAATGGTGTCTTGTAAGCCAGGTTTTTGCATTGCAAAGAACCATTTTAAATGTAGAAGTGTCCACATATTGTGTGCTGTATCGCGTACCTTGCCAGTTTCGTGCGCTTACTTGGCCCTTTGTTGTGATAAACAGTAAAGTGTGTTCAAGCGCCAGCAAAAGACTTGAATAGTGTAAAGAAATACTCTTTAAGAGAAGCAGTCAATCAGTGGAAGTTAAAAGCAGTGTGTAAGTATATTTATTTCTTGTCTCATTAGTTTTTGCAGTTGTCGTTGGTAGGAAACACTTGTTTTGTTTACTGTGTTGAGACGTGCTGAAGTTGCGTTTGGTCTCGTGCTGTATCGCATACCTTGTCAGTTTCGTGCACTTGTTATGCTTGGAGACTTAAATGTCCACCTAGATAGGGTGCAGGCTGCAGACTTCCACACTCTGCTTGCCTCTTTTGATCTCAAGCAAGTGTTAACTATGGCTACTCACAAATCAGGCAACCAACTGGACCTTATTTACACACCAAACTGCTCCACTGATCATGTGATGGTTACTCCACTGCACACCTCGGATCACTTCCTCCTCACTCTTAACATCAACATGGTTCCTGACACAACACATACCCCTCCACATGTCATCTTTCGATGTAACCTATGCTCACGCTCACCCTCTCAGCTATCTGCTATAGTTTCATCTTTGCTTCCTCCTCCTAAACAGTTCTCATCACTTGATACTAACAGTGATACTAACACTTGATATACACTCTCTGCTCCACTCTTTTGTCTTGCTTAGACAATGCCTGCCCCCTATCTTCCAGGTCAGCCCGTACCACCCCTCCTGCCCCTTGGGAGTTCTCTGCGAGCATCGTTCTAAGCTCAGAGATGCAGAAAGGGTATGGCACAAACTGTCAAACACATCTTACCAGCAAACATACATATTCACCTCCTTCTCTCCACTCTCTGAGGCAGAAGTCTCCAAACTAATCCTTTCCAATCATCCTACTACTTGTCCGCTTGATCATATTCCATCTCATCTCCTTCAAGCCATTTCTCCTGCAGTTGTACCTATACTCACTCACATCATTAACACATCCCTTCACACTCGTGTTTTCCCCTCAGCATTTAAACAGGCTACTTAAGAAACCCACTCTTAACCCAGCTCTTTTAGAAAACTACAGACCGCTACCCCTTCTTCCTTTCATTGAAAAAACACTTGAACAAGTTGTGTTTAACCAAGTCTCTGACTTTCGCACACAGAAAAACTTCCTGGACTGCAATCAGTCTGGCTTCAGAAGTGAAAATTCAACTGAAACTGCCTTGCTCTCGGTTGTTGAAGCCCTAAGACTGGCAAGAACGGCTTCCAAATCTTCAATACTTGTCTTGCTGGATCTGTCCGCTGCTCTTGACATGGTTAACCACCAGATCCTCCAGTCAACCCTATTGGCAAAGGGCATCTCAGGAACCGCACTCCAGTGGTTTGAGTCTTACCTCTCAGATAGGTCCTTCAAGGTATCTTGGAGGGGTGAGGTGTCCAAGTCACAGGGCCTCAGGGCTCAGTTTTTGGACCAATTCTCTTCGCTGTCTACATGGCATCACTAGGTTCTGTCATTCAGAAACATGGCTTTTCATATCACTGCTATGCTGATGACACTCAACTCTTCCTCTCATTCAATTCTGATGATCCGACAATAGCTGCTCGCATCTCAGCTTGTCTAACAGAGATTTCTTGCTGGATGAAAGACCATCACCTTTAACTCAACCTAGCCAAGACAGAACTGCTTGTGGTTTCAACAAACCCATCACTTCATCACAATTTCACCATCCACATCAATCATAACTCCTTCAAAGACAGCCAGAAACCTTGGAGTTGTGATTGATGATAAGCTGAATTTCTCAGACCACATTGCTAAAACTGCCTGTTCCTGCAGATTTGCTTTATACAACATTAGGAAGATCAGGCC